GCTAGTAAAATAAGTATAACTAGTGTAACTTATTTTAGTATTATTAGTTGCTAGTAAAATTAATATAACTTGTGTAACATTTTAGTATTATTAGTTGCTAGTAAAATTATATAGTATAATTAGTATAATTGGTGTAACATACTCTTTTTAGTATTATAGTTGCTATCACCCTCATTGAGATTCCCTTTTGGCCTTATACATGTGTCGTTCAACAAAAGCATGCAATAATTGATAACATGAACATTAATAAGGCCCATTTTGATGGTATGTTTTCTTGTTTTTCTCTCAGATACAGCTGAGCGATGTTCCGGGGGTCAGGGATTGGGTTACCGTGGCACCTGGAGCATAAGCATGTCAGGACTGGAGTGTATTAATTGGAATTCCAGCTCACTCCGTGGGAAGAAATTCACTGCCAGGAGACCAGAGGCAAACACACTGGGACTGGGAAATCACAACTACTGCAGGTGCGCATGCACTTCCTCCTCCAGACTTTGTTCTTTAAGGCATGAGATTAAACACTGATGTCATATTGCTCTTCCATGCGATTTGCAAATTGATTTCACCATGCTTTTAAACCAAAAAAACGCTTTTTGCTTTCATGCATTGAGCTGTATTGTGTTGTTGGTGAGTATATTAATAATAATCATGTTTGGGTTGTGTTTTATTCCTCAGGAATCCAGATGGAGACACTAAACCATGGTGTTACGTTTATAAAAAGGCTCAGTTCTCATGGGAGTTCTGCTTTTTACCGACCTGCATAATTGGTACAAACTCTCAACACACACAGACATAGATATCCATATCCATATAGTGTGTACTAACTAAAGCTGTGTCGTTTCAGACCCCTATCTAGAGTGCACACGGGGATCGGGTCAGACCTACAGAGGGACAAAAGCCGTCTCACGCAGCGGTTTGAAGTGTCTTTCGTGGGATTCACCCGCAGTGTCTCGTAAGATCTACAACGCATGGAGGTCCGACGCCAGAGAGATGGGCATCGGCAGCCACAACTTCTGCAGGTACAATGAATTACCCCCACACACACACACACA